GTAGTCAATTGTCTCCCGGCATCTACGCTTCCACATCATCCATAGTGTCGCGAGTCTTAATGTGTGGAAAAAGGTGGTCTCGAACCCTTGCCATGCTTGTTGTGCGTGTAAGCCTAGTAGGAGTGGGACCTGGTCTGTTGGGAGGGTTTTGCCTGTAATTGAGTGCCATAGTTCAGTAGCTTTCGCCCACAGTTGTTTTGCCTCTTGACAGTGAAGTAGGCAGTGCTCAATGTCCTCGACTAAGCCTTCCGAGCAAATTGCGCAACGTTCTTATAGGGGAGATCTTGACTGGATGCTTCTTCTCTTGTTCAGCCATTGATTGACTGGCAGGGCTCTGTGCGTCAATTGCCATTGGAAACTTCTTATCTTCGCAGACGTGATGGCATAGACGTCGCTGCATGTCGTGAGTAATGTCCCATTGGGGGGTAGGTTGAGTTTTTCCTCCCATCTTTGGCTTGTGATCTGGGTTAGAGAGTGCGAACGCGTTCTTAGTGTATAGCCCAGTTTGGTGGTATATTCCAGTATGTTGGTGCTTTTCTCAATTCCGAGTCTACCTGATTTTCTTTTCCATGCCCACTTGGCTGGGTCTATCTCTAGATCCGCTATATCAGTGAGTCTCAATGACTGTTCTGATAAGAAGGCAATTTCCCCGGACTGATTTTTACTAAGAAGGCTTGTAGTTGACCCTGGGTTTTCGATCGGGAAAATGTCACAGACCATCCATTCCCCCCTCTGTCCTTCTCTTGAGCGAAACTGATAGGCTGAGGTAGGAATATTATCTTATTTGACAGTCTGTTAGACTGAGAGGGGCAGTGGTTTTATCTGGGGATTGGCTACTCCATGCCTCAGTTCAGCAACTCTTACATCAGAAATTACTGCCAAGGGAAGCTGGGTAAGGCTCCCAGCATACTCTTCCGGGTAGACTGTGAGGACCCCGGCCTCCCATTTTCATTATTGTAATACATTGCTTTTGTTGGAAAAAAAAAAAAAAAAAAAAAAAACACAAAAACGAGTAATAATTGCACTATGTGGCAAGATACAGTTTGCAATAATTGCACTTCGAGCACCATACCTGGACAGAAAGCTGGGTTGTATACATTGCCCGAACTGCAATTTTAAACTGTATCTTGGCCCATAGAGCAATTACAACTCATTTTTGTGACTCCCATTGCACACGTCATTTTTGTGACTCCTGCATAGTTTTCCCTTTTTTTAATTATGTTCATCTGATGGCGCATGGATTCTAACTTCGGTCTGTATCTTTAAAAAAAAAGGAGTTTGTGGGTGTACCAACTGACAGTGTGCAAAGGTCCAAGGTACTGCAGATTTAAATCTTTGAGCCATTGGAATTGGCTTGGTACTCTGGGACTCGAGGCCTGGCGTGCCTTATGACCTGGCGTGCCCTGTCGCTCGTAGGCCGCAGCTAGGTATAGCCTGAGCATAGGAAATTCTCCAGCTGCAATGGCTGTAGCCGCTGTACTACGGCTGTAGCAGTGGGTCCCGTTCCCTGCGTCAGCTGATTTTTTGTCTGATGTAGGCTTTTTTTCTTTTTTTTTCCTTTTTCTTTTTTGATTGTCAGCCGGTTCGCATGACCCGGGGTCTGGTCCCACCTACAGCGTTGAGTTTTCTCAACGCTGAGCTTTCTATCACGTGTGGCATGGTGGAACGGAGCTCTGCCGTTGATGTATTGCGAATCTAACGGTACCAAAATACAGGAGAATAACCTATTAGATTTAGTCATTTTGTAGAATTTTTTTTCGACGTGAAATCCGTTTTGTAGTATGCGTTGGCCCTTTTGTTTTGGGCGGGAAACCATTTTACATTGAGAAAACTACCCTACCGAGGGTAGGGTACATTTCTCAACGGCAGTGCCTTTCTTTTTTTTTGTTTTTTTAGACCTCATTGCATCCTGAAACGGAGGAACTCTGACAGCTGTGTTGGCTGTCTGGCATCAAACTCGTTTCCTTCTTTGGGCAATGAATGCATTTGGCCATCCACGTCGTCCCTGTCCATTTCACAAATGGTGACCTCCTGTCCGCCCACCACCGGGAGTATCCCTTTTTCACGGAGACTTTCACTCCGACTGTTCCAGACATGTTTCATTTCTCCGAGTTACTTTATAAACAACAAGGAGAAAAGCTGTTTCTAGCCTTTTTTTCAGTTTTTTTTATTTCTTGTTTTGAATTTATTAATGTCTAAATGGCGTCACAACGTTGAGTCTTCTAAACTCAACAACGATAGGTGGGACCAGACCCCCGGTGGAACTGTTGTCAATGCTGAGTCTTCTTGTTGGAAACCGGGCCCAGTGTCCCATAAAAGGTGTACCCGCTGGGCCGCTGTAGCTGTACAGCTAAACTCAGCCCTCTCAGCTAACGCTGTCTGAGGGGCCTACTCACACTACCTAAGGGCCTTTTATGGCAAAATCGCTAAAAAATGATGGTTGGGGCAGTCACACGAGGCACCCAGGGTAGCAAAAGAAACAAACGGGGTATCAAATGTCAGTGGCCTGGCAGGCCGCTGGGAAAGGCATTTTGCTACCACCTCCGGAATGGTACCAAACTTTCTCACCTTTGGTTCGGGACTCCTTCGTGAAACGAATCTTGTTGTTGAAGGATTTGTGCCTTGCTCTGTGTCACTGTGGGCATACTCACACGAGGACCAAAAGACCCTAGATCCCAAAATTTGAGTCAGTTTTTGGGTCACACTGGAGAGGCCCGCTACCCAAATGCCTCAAACGGTGAATCTATCCTTTTGTCAGTCGCCTGCGGGGCCACGGGAGGACCCTTTTTGAGACCACCTCCAGCGGTGGTCTCAAATTACCTTTCGTTTTTTTTTTTTTTTTTTCAATGTTCGAGAGTCAAAGCGAATCGTAGACCAAGAAGACAACACGCCAAATAACTGAAAGTGCGACCAGGAACATTTACGTTGCAGCTAAGGCCCAAACACAACGCACTGCACCCTCTTTTTGGCAATTTGGCTGCATCCCACCAAATCAGCTTGCTTTTCTGTTCCGGCAGGGGGGGAACCACGGTAGTAGTATTAGAATTTGGGGCTCGCCACACAGCCTTTTGAAAATTCGTCCTTTCGAATTCCATCATTGTACTGCCCTCGTGACAGGCGGGCACATCCCCCACAAAAATGGAGGTTGTCAGGGTAGCGTCCCTGACAGATGGTCATCGTGAGGGCCCATTTTCACAAGACCCGATTGAGGCTTTTGAGATTTGGGCTGTGACAGGCGGGAGGGACGGGCCACTTCCAAATGCCTTTCGAATCCATTCGGACTGACACCTTTGGAAACATGAAAATTGTGAATTGGTTTGAAAGGCTGTGTGCCGAAGATGGTGTGACACTGTCCATTTTTCGTGTTTCGAAAGGCTGTGTGGCGAGCCCCTTTGCCGACTTCGGGTCGTCAAGGGGACGGAATCTGACAAGGTGCGACCAGTGCGTTGTCAGGCTAACGCCTTCTTGGTCAATGGGGACCATCTGCTACCAAGCAATGATGGCGGCGTGCTGTGTTCATAATCTTTTTGTATTGATCTTCTTGGAGTCTTGTGCTTTTGCTGGAACTGGTGTTCTACCCTTTTTGCGTGCGTAACAGAGTGCTTGTATTGGTGTATCTCTCCTCTGTTCTCATGCGTGGACAGTCTTGCCGGGATGTTTTCTTTTTCTTTTCTTTTGGGACATCTATCAAGGAACCTTTAAAAAAAAAAAAAAAAAAAAAAAGATTCTGAACTATACAGAGAAGATTAACACGGCCCCACTGCATAACAAAAAAAGGCAAAAAGTAATTTTACCCTCATCTTGGGATGTGTCCGAGACTCCTTCAATCAGTCAATCCAATGACTCAGAGGGAATTTATTCCAGTCACAGATTTTTTTTAATTTTTCTTCTTTTTTTTTCTTTTTTTTTTTCTTTTTCTTTTTTGTCTTTTTCTTTGATAATAGCGAGCTTTCTTTATATTTCCAACATACCCAAAAAAAATAAAAAAAAATTAACTCCAGCTTGGTCATGTCCCTGCACTCTATCTTCTTCCAACACCCCTCCTTTTTTTTTTTTTTAAAGGTTTGATTTCATCCTTTTTTTTGTTGGATGCAAAATGCTCGGTCTTTGCATTAGCTGGACCCCCGCTGGCGGCCCCACCCCATCCCTGACTACCGCTGTTGGGGCGGGGGGCAACATGATTTACCTCGTTTGCGAGGCCCTGTGCTTGCAGGGGTCCCCTCTATATATAGTCTTAGGAGTAGTGGTAGGAAGGTAGTGAACGGCAAAAAGAATAAAAAATTTGAGAGAAGAACATAGTGTAGTTTTTAAAAGAATATATATGTATATATATATACACTTGTGACGATATATATATACACATATATACACATATATACACATATATACACACTTACCCTACAATGTGAAGCCACAGATGTGTAGACAATCTAGCAGAAATGCCCAAAACCATTTCCAAATATACATTGCTGCTGTCTTTTTTTTTTTTTTTTTGTATGTCCAAATAGAGAACCGTGCTGTCCTTTTCTTCCTTTTTTTTTGCGAAGTATTTCACGTTTATTACAAATAACGGAAATTCAGACGAGTCCCCATGGACTTTCCCCACGGAAAACCATGCATGCAAATCAGGAGGAACAGCCAGAAATGAAGTATACATGTAAGTGGAACCTGGCCAGAAATACATGAGGCTGAGGTCTAAACCACTCACCCTCACCGGTTTCCCCCACCCTCACCGGTTCCCCCCCACCCAGCCCCCACCCTCCACAGGAAAAGTGGGATTTTTTTGAAAAAAAGAAAAAAAAGAAGAGGAACAAACGAAATTTGAATAGAAACAAAAAGCAACGAACGTGGCTTCTATTATAAATTTATAACGTTGCTTCCAAAAAATACAAAAAACGGAATGAACGTTAACTAACCTGCCGAAAAGGAACGAACATGGCTTCTATAATGAACTGGATTCCAAAAAAAAAATGAAAAAAAAGGAAAGAACATAAACTAACCTGCCAAAAACCAGGAACCCTGGCATGGCCTTGCAAATTTCCACAGGTACAGAGAGGACGAGCATGGTCCCTGCACAAGGTATGACAAGTACGACACAATTCAAGAAATTGTCAGAAAAAGAAAAAAAGAAAAAAAAAGAAAAAGAAGAAAAGAAATGGTCAGTTCTTTTTGACATGGGTTAGAGTGATCAACCGTCAACACAAAATTAAAAACAAAAATAGAAAAAAAGCATCAACCATGGGGGAAAAGAAATGGGGAAGAGGAAGAAGAAGAAGAAGAAGAAGAAGGGCAAAAAAAGGGACAAAGGGCCTCGTTAGACACTCCTTGTGGACCCGAAATCCACAAGGAAGTGCTCGTTCCACCGTTCCTCGGGGACGATTCGCGAAAAAAATGTGAAAACAGCATAAGGAAATTTCCTTGTGGCATCCTTGTGGCTACGGCCAATTTTTCCTAATCCCCAAGGGACCTCCCGAGGTCCCTCCGAGCACAAGGAAGCGTGCAATTCGGAGCGGCGAAGGCATGCTTCGACACAGTTTCGGTTTGAGGGTGGTCCAGACATGGTCCACCGAACGGGGAGCACGGACATCCCCGCCCTCCACCGTCTAGGCGGCACACCAACGGCTCCAAACGGTCACCGTCCGCTTGAGGCCTCCACCTCGGTCCGACGAATCGGCCGTCGCCGGCCGGTGTTATGAGGTCTGGCGCGCTGGGAGATAGTCAACAACGGTTGGAAATTCAAATGCTTTTCCGCGCCGGCGCTGTGTTCGACGACGACAGGTGGATTTGGGAAGATCGTCGTTTTCGTCGGTTGTGGTCACGCCTTACAGAGGAGCACAGATCTTCCCTCACTTTTTCTTCTGTCAACGGAGTTCTTCGCTGGACGGTCGACCACTGACCACAAAAAAAGAGTCAAATGAGCCAAAAAAATATTCAAGAAAACACAAAGCTCAGAACTCAAGACCTGAGAGCAAAAGCTCTCACCACCTCAATCCAGTCTGGCGGCCACTCCCCAACGCGTTTCTACTACCCTGCACGTAGCGTCATCAGGAGGAAACCTGATACCCATAGATCAAAAAACAGCTCTATGTACAATTTTTTTTTATATTTCATATTTTTGTAATTTTTTTGTATATTTTATATTTTTGTAACTTTTAGTATATTTTATATTTTTGCAAGTTTTTCGTATATTTTATATTTTTGTAATTAAATTTGTATATTTTATATTTTTGCAATTTTTTTGTATATTTTATATTTTTGTAATTTGTTTTTGCCCGGCGGGGCAAGTGGTCCCAGGCCACACTGGTAGCCTAGGGTCAGATGCATCTGGGCCGTGGTAGAATTCCGGGTCAGATACATCCAGGAAAGTCCATGTGCAAGTATGACCTCACACCCGTAGACATGATTTCTTCTTTTTCTGTTTTTTTCTTTTGGGGCAAGTACATTGGTGTCACAGGTGTAGTTCGTAATAGGCAAGAAAAGCAATGCATAGGCAGGTTTCCCGCAGCCCACTTTCGAAAAGGCAATCAGAACATAGACTTATGCTTCAGACAAGGCCTGTGTTTGGATTAGGCAGGTCCATCTCGGGTTCCTTCCCAGGCACGGGGCCGGTCGGCTTCACATGGAACATCAGGAGGGAAATCACCGGCCTCTCTGAAGAGGGCCTGAAAGGGCACCAGATCCAGGCACCCGTCAACAACCACCCCGGCCCACGTCCGTACAGGAGAGGGGAGTTTGCCATCCCTCCCATCTCTCTCTCTCTCTCTCTCTCTCTCTCTCTCTCTCTCTCTCTCTCTCTCTCTCTCTTCCGGATCATTTTTCCCACTATTCTATAACGTTTTTGCCTGTGTGTGTGTGTGTGTGTGTGTGCGGAAGTGTGTGTGGAGGAATTCTCCCTTCCTCCTTTGCTGAACTCAGGTTTGCACATCCAGCAGCGGTCCACGGCCCATTCGCCAGGAGTTGCTATGGGATACACTTATCAAGCTGCTTTGGGTATGCCTTCAAAAGGGGGCCGCGCGTGCCCACAGGAGAGACAGAGGGAGAGAGAGAGAGTCAAGATAGATAGATAGATAGATAGATAGAGAGAGAGAGAGAGAGAGAGAGAGAGAGAGAGAGAGAGAGAGAGAGAGAGAGAGAGAGAGAGAGAGAGNAGAGAGAGAGAGAGAGAGAGAGAGAGAGAGAGAGAGAGAGAGAGAGAGAGAGAGAGAGAGAGAGGGCAAAGAAGAATCAGTGCCTGCCGTAAAAAGAAGAAAGAGAGAGAGAGAGAGAGAGAGAGAGAGAGAGAGAGAGAGAGAGAGAGAGAGAGAGAGAGATGGCGGTCATGAACAAAACCCCTTCTGCCGTGTCGCAGGTTCCTGGAAAGTCAACCGTTCTCCAATTGATTGGGACTTCCGGTGCCCTTTCAGGCCCGATATCCCAAACGATTTGGAAAGGCCGGTGATTTCCCACCTAATCTCCCACGTTAAGCGGATCGGCCGTGTGCTGTGAAGGAACCGGCGCTGAACCTGCCAAATCTAAACACAGGCCTTCAAGATGTCTAAACCCCCGGCCTGTGTTTTGATTGCCTTAAGTTTTCGACCTTCGCTGCAGGAAACCTGCCTATGCCTGTTTTTTTGGCCTATTTCAAACTAAAAGTGTGCTGCCACAGGCCCACAGCCACAGTTTCCCGAACTTTCCCTTTTTCTTTTTCTTTTCAGACAGGATTTCAAATAGAGGAAGTATTAACATCATACTGGGGCCTCGCCACACCACTGCCGGGACGTGCAAAATGGATCATGTATCTTCCCGCAAACCATGGAAAGATATAGCCATCTGCTCCAGCATCATTCCGACAATCCCTACTATCCCTACTGCCAACCCACAAAAAAACCGTCTTTCCCCCGAATATAACGCCCGGACCGGGTCATGATAGCCGAAGTATTTTGTGCAACTTTCAGTCTACATGCAGGGGTAATGACCGGGCGTTCTATTCGGGAGAACACTGTAGTAGCACCGACAGATCTACAAACTGCCACAGAAGCGCCAGTTGAGGACAAACTGCCCAAAAAAAAGTCCGCTGAAAGAGGCCCGCTGGTGTCCATTCCTATTATAGACCTCAAAGGTTAATCTCTTTTCTTTTTTTTTTCGCCCCCAATAAGAGGCCCCTTTCCTTCAAAAAAAGAATAAATATATGAGGCCCCATTCCCATTATAGCCCTCATAGTAAGCAGGTTCCTGGCTTTGTTTGCGTAATGAAAAGTGTGTTCCAAAACCGAAAAACAGGCCCACTTCAGGGACGAAATAAGAATTTATAGAGGTTTTAGGGTGGAGGCACTGGGGGGAATCTACCGAGGTGGTAGTACCTTACACAGAAACCGTAATGTCAGAGCGACGCATCTTCCCCCCCCCCCCCTTTCCCAAAGAAAAAAGAGCTATGCATCGCCCGCGGAGAGGCGGCAAGACGCCAACAATAGGAGCCCTAGGGCCTCTTCGCACCACTCTGCAAATGTCAACTGTGGGTGACTGCCATCCGTCTAGTATCCCACCTCTACAACAACGTGGACCACAGCAGGTCCCGATACATTCAAAATGCTGATCTTCAGCACGCGCCCAATCTGCAGCACAGCCCTAAAATTCTGTTCTGTATTGTACTCAGGGAAAAAGAGAAAACCATTTTCCGTACTTTCAAGCGTACGTGAACAGCCCGCTAACCTCTGCTCATGCAAAAAATGGCAATCGCCCCCCGCCCCCCCCCCCCGCCCGCAAAGACCAGTCCGCCCGCTCGCAAAGCCCCTTGTGTGTGTGTGGGTGTGGGTGTGGGTGTGTGTGTGTGTGGGTGTGGGTGTGGGTGTGTGGCTGCAGCTCCTCGCCCTCCCCCTACCCCCACCCACAAAAAAAAAAACAAAAAAAAACAAACAAACAAACAAGCACCTGTGTACCTGCAAGTGGGCATGATCTGCAGCAGCCATCCGTCGCAAGGTCTCACTACCGTAGCGGACAGAATTGGATTATTCTGGATGTGTTTTATGCAGGCATGCAGGAGAGCAGACGAATCACTATTTTCTGCACTTTTGCACGATGTCGTCCAGGTTGGTACTCGCCCCTGGTTGCACAGAGGCATTTGCATGCGCGCACCCTTTTGACCGAGCTAATTCTTCTTTTTTTTTTTTCCGCTTCCAAATACAAAAAATACCCGGTCCGGCTATTTCTGTGCTTCAACCCTCTTTCCCCCTCCACAAATATAAACGTTGAAGTCCTTGTTAGTGTCCACTGTAGCGAGCTCCTAGTCGACTGACTTAGCTGGACAAATTCATTGTATCTGACCGTCGATATGAATCAATGGCTAGCACTGGCGAACCAACCAAAATCGCGTCAAAAAATAAAAATAAAAAAAATCGCGTCAATGGTAGCGGTGTAAGACTTCTTTTGATCTGAATAACTAAAAAATAAATAAACCATGGACTACTCTCGGCATGCACAAAAGACAAGATAATGGCGATGTATCTTTCCATGTTCTAGCGGAAAACTCTGGACGACGAGTTTCCCAGATGGGCCTTTTTTTTCCCTCAACACCCCCCCCCCCCCCCCCCTCCCCCCCCCGCGATGGGCCAAAGTCCCATTTACCCCAGTTCTCAATTTGTGACCATAATCTACGAAGACCACCGATTCGACATGCATTGAAGAGTGAGCTCAAGTGGGACTTCCCCCCCATGGACTGCTATCTCAGATCTCTACCTATCTTTCAGTCTATTTTTAGCCAGGGGCCAGGTCGCACTCGCAACATGGATTGGATTGAACGCCTGAATCTAGACGTGTTCCTGGAAAAGTGCAGAAATTTGAGATTGAACAGCTTTTTCTCCATTGCTGCTTAAAACACGTCCAGATTCAGGAGCTAAGTCCAATCTCTTGCTGATGAGACCTCGGCCCAGGACCCAAAATCCGTGCCCACACGGAAGCCAGAATACTCGAGAGTGCTCCGGGTAGACTGTGGGGACCCCGGCCCCGTACCTATGCAGAAGGTTTTATAAGGGACGCTAGGCCCGTTTCCCAGCTGTGTCGCTCCCCACAAATAGATCGGAGCCGTGTTCTAATTAA